CTCCAGGCTCCTGACTTCAGATCTGCAAAGCTGTAGCCACTTGGGGAGTGAATCAGCTGTTGGGGGATGTTAGTCTCTGTCTCTCCTCCTCTCTGTATATTTGACTTTCCAATAAAAATAAATACATCCTAAAAAAAAAAAGAACCTGGCTATTTATTAACACACTCAGCTCTGTTATGCCTGCCTCTTTTGTTTTAAAGATTTATTTTTATTTTTATTGCAAAGTCAGATATACAGAGAGAAGAGAGACAGAGAGGAAGATCTTCTGTCCGATGATTCACTCCCCAAGCGGCCTCAACAGCCGAGAGCTGAGCCAATCCGAAGCCAGGAGCTTCTTCCAGGTCTCCCATATGGGTGCAGGTTCCCAAAGCTTCGGGCTGTCCTTGACTGCTTTCCCAAACCACAAGCAGGGAGCTGGGTGGGAAGCAGGGCTGCCAGGATTAGAACTGGTGCCCATATGGGATCCTGGCACATACAAGGTGAGGACTTTAGCTGCTAGGCTACCATACCGGGCCCTATTCTTGCCTCTTAAAACATTGTTCTTGGTAATCTCTTTACACACAAATAAAAAACTTGTTTATTGCTGTAACTGACTTTCAATGAGTTGAAATATGTGTTATATCATCTCTTTTACCAGTTTCCTGCATGTGAGAGAAAACTTCAAAATTGTTTATGAAGGGCCCTGCTGAAGTCTTCACCTTGCACCTGCCAGGATCCCATTTGGGTGCTGGTCCTAATCCTGGCGATCCCGCTTCCCATCCAGCTCCCTGCCTGTTGTGCCTGCTTGCGAAGTGTGAATCAGCAGACAGAAGATCTTCCTCTCTCTCTTCTCTGACTTTCCAAAGATTATCAAATAATTAAAAAAAAATTCTTCATGAACTTTTGTAAAGTGACTTTATTTTTTTTTAAGATTTATTTTATTTTTATTGGAAAATCTGGTTTGCAGAGAGGAGAGACAGAAAGATCTCCTGTCCACTGATTCACTCTCCAGGTGGCCACAGTGGTTGGAGCTGAGCCAATTCAAAGCCAGGAGCCAGGAACCTCGAGCCTTTTCTGGGTCTCCTATACAGGTGCAGGGTCCCAAGGCTTTGGGCCATCCTCGACTGCTTTCCCAGGCCATAAGCAGGGAGCTGGATAGGTAAGTGGGACTACCAGGACACCAACCAGTGCCCATATGGGATCCTTGTGGTTGAAGGTGAGGATTTAGCCACTAGACTATTGCACTAATCTGTGCCTTTATATTTTAAATACGGATAATTCTTGGTTCTAGACATTTCCAAAGCCAGGTGTTAAAAGCATTTTTTCCAAGTATCACAGTGTTTATGTATATATATATATATATAAAAATATATAAAATTAGGGGATGAACATGACTTAATTATTAAACTTAATTTTAATACTAGAATAAGAACAATTAAGCTTATCATCATCTGTTTCACACCCTCAGAAAACCACAATACCCTCAGGGCATTGATGATCTCTCAAAACTGATCAGTTGTGTGCAAATGGACAATATTTCTTAAAAAAAAAAAAAAAAACTGTGATACTTTAGGCTGGTATTATGGTTCAGTAAGATAAGCCACAGTAGGGCCCACCACAGTAGTTCAGTGGCTAAATCCATACCTTGAAAGTGCTGGGATTCCAAATGGACACCAGTTCATGTCCCCACTGTTCTACTTCCCATCTAGCTTTCTCTTTGAGGCCTGGGAAAGCAAAGGAGGACGGCCCAAAGCCTTGGTACCCTGCAGCGGTGTGGGAGATCAAGAGCTCCAGGCTTCATTGGCTCAGCTCTGACTGTTAAGGTCACTTGAGGGGGTGGTGAACCAATCAATGGAAGATCTTTCTCTTTGTCTTTCTCTTTCTTTGTAAATCTTCTTTTCCAATAAAGATAGATCTTAAAAAAAAAAAAAAAAAAGATAAGCCACAGCCTGCAGTGCTGCTATCTCATGTATCAGTTTGCATACCAGCTGCTCCATTTCTAATCCAGCTCCCTGCCAATACACTTGAGAAAACAGTGGAAGATGGGCCACATACTTGTGCCCCTGTCATCCCCTGGGGGAGACTGAATGGAGTTACAGGCGTTACATTTAGCTTGACTCACTTTGGATCATTGTGACTATTTCAGTGACCTAGCTGATGGAAGATCTTTCTCTCTTTTTGACTGTTTCTCTTCCTCTCACTCTATCTCTCTAATCCTGCATTACATGTGAATAGATAAAACCTTTATTGAGAAAAGAAAAAGAAAAAATACTTGCACACTTCCCAGGCTCAAGAATATTAAAAATATGTTTTTTGTATAAAAAGATTTGTTCATTTTTATTGGAAAGTCAGATATATAGAGAGGAGGAGAGACAGAAAGAAAGATCTGTCTGCTGATTCACTCCCCAAGTGGCTGCGATGGCCGGATCCGAGCCCATCTGAAGCTAGGAGCCAGGTGCCTCTTCCAGGTCTCGCATGTGGGTACAGGATCCCAAGGCTTGGGGCTATCCTTAACTGCTTTCCCAGACCACAAGCAAGAAGCTGGATGGGAAGTTGGACTGCTGAGAGTAGAACTGGCGCCCATATGGGCCCCGGCTGGTGCAAGCAAGGACTTTTGCCACTACGCTACCATGCCAGGCCCTAAAAATATGTTGTAAAGTCAAGCTAAAGAGAATTCCTTTTTTTTTTTTTCTAAGATGATTGATTTGAAAGGCAGAGTCACTGAGAGGGAAAGAAACAGGGAGACATAGATTTTCTGTCCACTCATTTACTCCTCAAATGCCTGTAACTGCTGTGGCTTGGTTACACTCAGAAGTCAGAAACTCCATCCATGGCAGAAACGGAAGAACTAGGGCCATCACTTCAGACTCCATGAAAACCCAAGCATTTCTGAGCATTTGTTTCGGGCGGAGTTCCTCCAAGCAGCCACGGAAGCTGCCTTTTCTGATGTGGAAGCCTCTGGTGTGAGACGCCTCTTTCCCTCTGCATTCGTTTCTTTGGCGGGGGATGTCTAGCATTTAGTCAGCTGAGGGTGGCAGCTTAGTGACAGCAAAGGCACCTTTTGAGAAGAAATCCCTGGAAGCTCCAGCAGAGTGGCTCCTTCACTCTGAAGGAGCTTATTGATCTTTCTTTCCCTGCAGCTTTGGGGATGTTGTGGGAAAAGCCCGATTACTGTTGAGAAGGAAAAACTCCTCTATCCTGCTTAGGTTATGTCTATGAGGCCTGTAAAATTAAGCAGAGAAAAAACAAAAGAACTTAATACATTTTATTCATATTGATATTTTTAGCACTACTTGCACATGAATTTCATAGAAAAAAGGGGAAGTCTCCAATAGGCAGTTATATTTGAAATCTTATATGCCATTTTAACAAAGCGAGATTAAATTGGAGAAGTGACTAGTCAGTGAATTAAGGTTTAGCTTCTAGGGGCAGAAGAAGGTGGGTGTATAGAGAAACAAATGACAAATAAAAGTCGTTTTAATGAAGTTTATTTGTGTGGGCTCGCTTGTGGCCAACTTTTCTTTTTTATGACCAGGAAACTCCCCCAGAGAAGATATTTATAGCAGTCCTTATTCCCCAGAATTTTCTGCTTCTAGTCAGATAAAGGATGCTCCAAGAAGACTTCTTTTTTCCACTTCCTGATTCTCAGTTGCCTTTGGCTTAATTTGTAAGCTGATGTGGAATGTTTTAAGGTGGTATGCTTTGATTCCTTTTAATATTTAGAGAAGAAAATATAGAGAAAAGAGCAGTAAGTGGATGAGTCTGCCATCAACAGAGATGTAAGGCATGATACTTCACATACCTAGGAACCTACTTCAATTATCTGGAAGACAATTGGGTTATATGAGCTCTAAGTGTTCATACTGCTTTAAAATTGTTTGCTTTTGTTCATAAGGATCTTGAATATAGCCACTCTTGGATGGATGTAATTTGTCCCTTTTTAAAAAAAATTATTTTTTCCATTGGAAAGGCAGAACTACAGAAAGGAGAGAGACATATCTTTTGTCTGCTGGTTCACTCCACAAACGGCTGCAACAGCTAAATCTGAGCTGATCAGAAGCCAGGAGCCATATGGGTCTCCCACACAGGTACAGGGTCCTGAGGCTTTTGGTCATCCTCAGCTGCTTTCCAAGGCCATAAACAGAGAGCTGGATGGGAAGTGGAGTCGCCAGGATTAGAACTAGTGCCCATATGGGATCCTGGTGTTTGCAATTGGGAAGATTAGCCAATTGAGCCACTGCGCCAGACCCTGTCCTTATCTCTTAAGACAATGCAGACCTAGGTTTACCGGACTACATGAAATTACTACCTTCATACTTCACAGACCTTGTTTTTTGATTTCTACATATTGTAGGATCAATTGACCAGTCCTAACAATGATTAATTGATGGAAATATGTTTGAGGGTGTTGGGAGGAAGGTTGGCATGCAGCAAATGGAAAAACGCTGGAAAATGTTTGCTGCTGTTTCAAACTCTTATCTTCTTAATGATCTGACCAGTAGTTCCCAAACAGCTTGTCACAGTTTCTGGCATAACCACTAACTAATTCCCAGCCTTCTTCAGAACCTCTGCTCCCTTCATTGTTATACTACAGGATGCTATGGAGACAATATGGACTTTGGAGTCTGCCTAATACAAGGTGGCTTGCCTTTTTCTATTTTTTAATGCAAGTCACTGTCTCTGGAACCCAAGGTTGTCATCTATAAAACAGCAATACTTTACTCCTTGGGTTAAAAATTATTGTTAGGATCAAATGAAATGACAGACAAAAATAGCTTCTCACATGTCTCATAATGAGAGCAACTGACATTTGTATCCCTCTGCTATTTATGGAACACTCTCATAAAAGCAGTTTCGTTGAATGCATTATGTGCATATGCTTTGCTAGGTGGAAATATCACTTAGGTGTTAGAGGCCTGAGCTGGGCTTGCAGAGTCAGGACCCTGAGCCTTTGTAGTTTGGTCATGACAAGACACAGATTTTCAGGGGTCCCCTCTAAAACAACCTTTTATGTTTTCCAGGAACCTGAATTCCTATGTTTGGAATTTGATGAGGTCAAGGTCAACCAAATCCTGAAGAAGTTGTCAGAGGTAGAAGAAAGCATCAGCACACTGATGCAGCCGGCGTAACTGAAGATGACGCAGGAAGGAGTTGGAGCTGTTGAAGGTGTTCATGATTCTTCCCCATTGGCTCTTTTTTTTTAAATCTTGTTTCCCCACTGGCATTAAATCTTCAAATTCAAATCTTACTTGTCTCTCTCCTAGGATTTCTTTCTCCCTTTAATTTACTCTTAAGAGTTGTGTAAGAGTCGTTTTGGTTTAGAAGTTCTTACACTTCAGCATGTGTATAGACTATAAGGGGCACTTGTAAAAGCATTTAGATTATTTTTTAAAATGGCAGACTTTGGTAGGGGGCTGTGGAGGGCTCCCCTGCTGGAGCACCAGTCCCGCTACAGAGTGTGAGTTTGGATGGGGGTAGACCAGGTTGGGCAGGGCTGCAACACCTGTTGGCCTCATGTGGGCTGGATCAGGGGAAGGCCAAGCTGGGTTGACTAATCTTGCTGGTGAATGTGTAACCCAGAGTGGGTGAGGGTTGGTTGGGCTATGCCACAGCATCACCTGGCACATGTTAGCACTGGGGGCTAATTCTGTCAAGTTAAACTGCAGAACCACCTGGAGACTACAAGATCTGGGAGTGGGAGTGAGCCATTTAGGAAAACAGTGGGCACCTTTCACTTGGGTTGCCACTCCAACTGGTGAGCATGAGAACCAGGACTGGGGCAGGCATGATTAGACAGAGTGGCACCCGCCAGCATGTGTGTGGGCTGGATAGTGGGGCTAATTGGGTTGAACTAAGCTTCAGTGCCCGTTGACATGTATGAGAGCTGAATGGGATGTGGAACAGACTGTATTTACTGGCAAGCATGGTAACCAGGGCAGGAGGCAGAATTGGTGGGGTTTATTGTGGGTGGCTCCAACTTGGCTGCAGCTCCCACTAGTGTATGTGAAGGCTGAGTGTTTGGAGGGCAGGATTGGGTTGGGCTGCAACACCCATTGTTTTTGTAAAAGACAGGGCTGGAGACAGAACTGATCCAGCAATTGCAACCACTAGCATGTGCATAAACTGATTTGGGTGATAGACTGTCCAAACCCTGCATTGGCAAGCACAAGAATCAGGTCTGGGATCACCTCAGATGAAATTTCTATGGTGATCCACCTAACTGAATTGTTAGACTCAGAACCCCAATTATGGAGAGAATTGCAGGTTCCCTGGTCTGACCAAGGAGTGCATGGGTCAGAGCTGGGCCTCCTCAGTGCCTTAAATGGAGAAGTTGACAGCATATCCAGATGCACATGGACTATATGGCAGTCCATCGGAACCTGCAGAGGACACCTGGTACCACAACAGATGATGGAGGACCCCAGCCAAGTGTTGACAGTTAATAACTGGGCAAGTGGAAACTCTAAGGTGGACTATGTCAAACAGTGGATTCTGGAAAGATTTCATCACACTTGGAGTGGTGAGATTGGCAGTAATTCAGAACAGTTGAAGTATTGAAACCTCATGAACAGGAGCCTGGGATGTGTCGGGTGGCTGTCCTCCATCCCAGGGTACAGAGGTATTTGGGATTCTGGGTGTGGCTTCTCTCCTGTCTCCCCTCTTCCCCCAGACACAGGAAAGAAATAAGAAAGAGAATGTGGACATGGTAATCTTATGCACCTTCCTGTAGCTCTTGACCATAATCACCCTAATCAATTAAAAATCATCAAAAATAAAAATAATTCATAATTTTTTTAAATGACAGGTTTTATGGGTCCTATCCCCAAATGCTTAAATTCAGTAGGACTAGGGCTTGTGGGAAACCCCTAGTGTGAGGATTTTAGGATAATATATAACAAATCAAGAATTGGAAAAGAAGGAAAAAAACATTTTAATCATGCAAACACAGGACTCACCAAAGTGTTCTGTGTCCTGAGTTGAGGCCTAGAAGAACCTAGCTAACTTGAAGAGATTTACTTGACCCTAGTAAAACCCAAGATGCTTCTGGACCTGATGGGAGCTTTGGATTGGTTCTGCCTAATGGTGTAGGGTAAATCTAGTTTGATGTGAACCACAGAGAGGCAGCTTTTGTGGAGCCCAGAACTGAATTTGCATCCTAACCAAAGGACTTTTTCCTTCACTTGTCTCATGGCAGGATTTTAGGGAGAGAAAAATGTCTACTAGGGTGATACGAGGTCTTTTACCAAAACTTTACCCAACTCATCAAAAAAAATTATTTTCCAGAAAAGCTTGTGTAATAAGAACTAAGTCCTCATAGAGAAATTACCAAATGCTAAAAATATTCTTAGGGGAGGAGATTGTCAAGCACTACATTGACTCTTTGGTTCAACAGGTTTTGTCATCTGACACTGAGAGCATTTTAAAACTTCAGTAGTCTTTGAGATGTAATGTATCCAAGAAATGTGGTTCTCTTTGTCTGTGGTTACAGGATCCGTCAGTTTTTATGAGTTTATTGAAGAGCAAGGAATAAGTCCTCTTCTATTAAGCAGTTTCTCCTAAATCAGTTTGGAGGCATTTTAGGAGCTCTTCCAACACCCAAGCTGAAGACGTTGGCTTCCCTGACTCAAGCCATCCCAGCAGTTAGCAAACAATGACTGTGTAATCCCTGGGGACCCTTCAGAAGCATCTTGAAAGAGTACTGTAAATAGGTTCCAAAAAGCATGTAGCTTGACAGAAAGAAAAACACAATTGAAACTAACTTTCTGTTCTCAGTGCCACTGCCAAGGGATTCAAGAGAATTTTAGATCACGTCTTTCACTGTATCATGCAGGAGAATAACATCTCATCACATAAATGGATCTGAACTTCCTTGGGTCCTTGGAGGAATAGCCATAGCTACCAGATCTGTGGCAGCACGAGAAAGCAGTCCAGAGCCGCTCACTGTTGTGGGCTGAAGCTCTGTTTTTATGTCATTCCAAGAGAGTAAAGGCTACAAAAAAGAAAGCATAGGCTTGTTTATTATATCTCCAAATCCTAGATATTGGGAAAACTACTGTTAATGGAGACTGAGTTTTTTCAGAATAGTAATTACTCCCCCCACCCAAAAAAACTAATCATTACCAGTGATACCCTACATTTAACACTTTTGAATGAAAGTTCATTTGGGCAGGATATGCTCGAAATTTACTGAATTTTTTAAAAGTTTTGATTACCAACAAATCTGTTCATTATAATCCATTATAAATATGCAGAAAAGAGCCCAGCGCAGTAGCCTAGTGGCTAAAGTCCTTGCCTTGAACATGCTGGGATTCCATATGGGCACTGGTTCTAATCTTGCCAGCCCCGCTTGCCAGCCCCGCTTCCCATCCAGCTCTCTGCCTGTTGCCTGGGAAAGCAGTGAAGAATTGCCCAAAGCTTTGGGACCCTGTACCCATGTGGGAGACCCGGAAGAAGCTCCGGGTTCCTGGCTTCAGATTGGCTCAGCTCCAATCATTGTAGGTGCTTGGGGAGAAGCCATCAGATGGAAGATGTTCCTCTCTGTCTCTGCTCCTCTCTGTAAATCTGACTTTGCAATAAAAACAAATCTTTTTTTTTAAATGCAGAAAATTACTAAAAGAACAGAAAACGATCTGTCAACGTAGCATCCAGAGATCAAAGAAAGGGCATGACTTGACCTTTTGCTGCTTGGGACACCTACATCAGTATTGGAGAACATAGTTCAGGCCTTGGCTGCTGTGCTTCTGGTCCAGCTTCCTTCTGCTGTGCACTCTAGGAGCCAGCAGCTCATGGTTTAAGTCCCTGGGTCCCTGTCACCCACTGGGAGAATTGGACTGAGTTCCTGGCTCCCAGCTTCAGCCTGGCTGCTGCAGGCATTTGGGAAATGAAATAGTAGATGGGAGAACTCTGCTTCTCTCTGTGTGTGACATTTAAATAAAGTGCAAATAAATGAATGTTTTTGAAAAAAGAAGCTAGAACTGGGAGATGAGTTCCCTTGAACAGATTCCTGAGAGTGGAATGCAGTGTTCTTAATTCTGTGGTAATCATTACAAATTGTTCTTTGAGGAGGTTGTATCAGAGTGTATACCTTCTGAGAAAGTGTAAGAATGAATCGCTTCCCTTACTAAGTCAGGGTATCTCCCTAGTGATAGTGCAAACATGCAGAAAGATTGGGAAAGGAGAAAACCAATGCAAGAATCTCAGGGATGCCACTTGGTTTCTTTATCCTTAGAACCCTAACTTTAAACTAGTTTGAGTTCAGGACAAAAGAAAAATAATCTCTAGCCTGAGCTGGTCCTTGTAGACATGATCACTGCTGGAGCAGTAGCACTCTAACTTCAGTGTGTTTAAAGTGAGCTCTCAGAGTAAGACAAAAGCAACTCCAGGCTCAGGTAGCTTCACGCTGATAAGGAGCAAAGGATTTGTCCTTATGTTCAGATCTGGCTTTTCTTGGATGCTCTGATCCTTATCACCTTCATCAGCAAAGGCCAAACCATTATAGCTTCTTTCCTTTTATGTAACTCTCTTTCAGTAGTGTCAGTTTAATGTCAATCCAAAAAGACTTGTAGAATTTTTAAAATATACTGTAATTGTTCTCCCTGAAGCTCAAAAAATTCCATGCAAAGCAAAAGATGACACTGAGTCTTTGAAACATGGAATACTTGCCACCATCTCAGGCCATTCAATATTGAAGTTGTTGTCTTTTTAGACCTGGATGAAAGTTTGGAAAACAATATAAATAGAAATGGAAGGAAAATAGGCAGTTAAACAGATGTTAGAAGGGATGTTACTGATGTGCGTAGTACAGATGTAGACCAGTTAGAGGGGCTACAGAAGAAATCCTTCCAAGGGCAAGCTGTGAACTCTACAGCACTCTAATTTTACAGTCAAGGTTTTTAAACATTTTAGGTGGAAATTTAACCAGCAGAGTAGAAAGCCCAAATAGAACATAAATAGCAAAATCTTACTGCTGATTGTCGAGTACGTAGTTTTTAATCCCAACACTTGAATAGTAGCAGTTTTACCCGAGTGTAGCCAACTTTGCACAGGAACCTGCTTAAACCTGCCTCCTGTGAGATAATCATGCCACCTGACACAATGTGCAGGTTCAGTTCTTTAGTTTTCAGAGTAAAAGATTGAAGTTATGCATTGGCAGATAATAAAAAGCTTTTATCACTTAATCACCAAAGAGCGTAATCAGGTTAATCAGGCCTTCCCCTGATCTCTTTTGAACAGTTTTTGACTA